TCGGAGTGGACCGCTTTGGCGGGGGGGTACCATGTTGTCGTGGTGGAGTCAACCTGACTTCTGAGATCCGAGGTTCGCTCGGGCAAGGACGAGGGGTATCCCCAGACCACCTCCTAGGGGATGGACGTGTGCTATTCACGGAAGGCGTTAAGTTCTTGACGGCTCACGTTAAGAAGAACCGCTATAGTTTACCCTTCTAATGGCCGTCTTAGGAGCCACAAATGAGTGAGGAATTGGCGCCATAAGAAGCCCAGTTCGTGCGATCACTAGCCATGGACGGAGTGCGACTAGGCACTACCTTCGCGGATAGGGTTGCGCCATAAGAAGTGCAAGCCTGGGGCGATCAGACTAGTTGACGGAAAAAATGTAACTAAAGCATTGCCTTGAATACCTTTATATCGCAGACTGGTATTTCATCATTTGTGAGACAGAAAAAGTAATCATTGCTCGAGAGGACAAAGCGACCAACAAAATTCGAAAATGGATCCTTGACCTTAATGAGGCATTCAACGTTCGGTCGTTCAAGTCGAGTACTGACTTGTATAGTGGTAGCCGGACTACTTGCAAATGACATTCACACCAAAGTTAAAGTGGGAGCATAGTCATCACTGGTGCGATGGCATCCTAGCTTTAATCGAGTATTGGGATTTTTCTGCATTCTTGTCTAGCAGTCGATATGGGGTAGAATGAAAGAACTTGGCAACGCACCTCATCAAGTTGAAAAAGTCGTGACAGCCCAGGCGAGTGATATGTACGAGTGTATCAATTTCAGAAAATAATTCAGCTTACGTTGACACGAGTATTTTGTAACTTTTGATTGTCTTCGAAAGAAGGGACTAGGATCGATCAAGATTTTCTCACGCTTGGAATATCACGTCCTAGTCGACCGACGTCGGTCTGATTCTTGGGAGATCAGCGCCCCAGGGACGGGCGACGTTCGGGTCCACTTTGGCGTTTAACCATGCGTACCTATGCTACAGTGAACGAGCAAACGCCCTCGGCCGACTTACCTCTGCAATTGCTTTATAAAAGCTTTCGCATGTGGGTCGGTAGCTCGGTAGGGATACGCCCCTAAGGGTGGTGACAGCCCCTTAGGGAAGGTGAGTTGTGCCCCGTGAGAACCTATCTTGTCGTAGGGGACCGCGGGATGTACAGTTGGCGCACTCGGCCGGAGCGGCAAAGGACCGACGCGGGTTACCGTGTCGTCCCCGAGTTGTCTCTAAAAAGTTGAAAGCCTAAGTTTCTCCTGCGTGACGCGGCCGAGAGGGCCCTCGCTCGTGTGGGGGCCGATGCGCTCGACACCACCATCCCAGCCCCTGCATGACGACCTACCGGTTGCTTTCATGCCTCCCCCCAACTTACCTCTCATTCCCTTCCGCCTATGCCCTCTCGCTGCCTAAGGCATTGTCCGCCCTCCCCATCGCCCGTTGTCAAGGCCGTCGTCGTTGCTGCCTGCATCATCGCCGTCAAGGCCGTCACCCGTCCGACATAGCCCCCCCGCCAGTGCGCCACAGGTACGTACTTCTTCTTCTTCTACCGGTTGCATTCATGCCTCCCCCCAACTTACCTCCCATTCCCTTCCGCCTCTGCCTTCCCGCTGCCTAAGCCATTGTCCGCCCTCCCCATCGCCTGTCGTCAAGGCCGTCGTCGTTCTTGCCTGCATCATCACTGTCAAGGTCGTCGCCCGTGCGACATAGCCCCCCTGCCAGTGCACCACATGTACTTCTTCTGCTTCTTCTTCAGATACATAGTTCTTCTTCTTCATCTTCTTCTTTACGTTCTTGGTTTCGAGGCGCGCACTCTCGTTCGTGGGCGCGACACATTTCAAGGCGTGGTGGATGGAGAGAGAGAGAGAGAGAGAGAGAGAGAGAGAGAGAGTAATGGAACAGTTCGTGAAACTGTTCAACCGCTGCCCTCCTCCCCAACCTGTGACGAGCGCAAGGCTGAGGGAGAGCCGAGGGAGAGGAGAGAGAGAGGGAGAGAGGGAGAGCACACACACACACACTCACTCGGCACGACTGAGGGTCGGACGCAGACACAGTGGCAAGGCACAAAGTCGAAGTCTTGGATTCCGAATGCCGAAACAGCAAGTCACACTGAGTACGAGTACAACAGCAGAAAACGGGTACGGGACTGGTCCCCGTACTGTACGGGGAGCCAGTATAAGTACCGGTGACACGTACGGTACCAGGGGCATTTCCGCAAAAGCCCCGAGGGCAGAACTGAAAAACGCGGTATTTGAAAGTAGCGCCCGAATTGCAGCATGGAGCCAGTTGTCCAAAATCTGACGGTACCAAAGAAGGGGTTTGGCAAAAAAGGGTGCCAGGCCGAAAATGGGATGCAGCAGAAACAGCAAAAAGATAAACCAGGGATCGAGCCCTGGTGGAATCCGTAACACAACCCCTGAAATACAAACCCCCTCCCCAACCCACCAACGAAACTTCTCTGTTAAAAGTTTTCTTTTGCGGCTTCGGAGTGATCTTGGCGAGAGCAGTGCAACTGCGAGGAATGAGCCTCGCGGAGCCTTATCAGACATACAAGTGTTCTGGGCTGTTATCCCCAGCAAGCCTCGTGCCCGCCCTAAGTGAAGGCGGGCCTGAATATCCATGTGAGGCCTGTTCTCGACAATTTCCATATGTGGGTACTCAGAGAGTTGCAGCACGACAGTTGGTTACAGAGCAACATGAGCCTCGAGGCTCTTTCCAAAAGCAAAGGGCTGCGCTGTACAGTTGAGCCCACGGCTCAGGTGTTGCGCCCTGGGCACATGCTGTGTGAGGTTCCACACATCACGGACTGGTTATGGGCCAATGAGCAAGCAGCATTGTCGTCACACGTGCCGCAAGCCAATGAGAATGCTGCAAACACTTGGAGGCTGGGTGGCTGCCTGGACGTGCCTAACTGCATGAGGCCCAGTCCAGTTTCGGAAACTGGGCCTGGGCGCAGACACTTGAAGCCCAACTGAAGCTACTGGGCCCCCCACACGCCTGGCCAGGACAGCCAGCAGCGACACACTTTCCATAAAGAAAGTGTGAGCCACTGGGAGAGGGATTCTGGCCTTGGCAGGCAATGCAGACACGCTGCTGCGTTGCTGCGCTAGTGTCTGCATGGGCGCTGCGGTGCGACGGGCGCTGCTGAGGCGGCGGGCGCACAGCAGCCATAGCCGGGCTGCAGGGGCGCAATGCAGGTGATGGTGATGGTGGCCTTCGGGTAGGAGGCGCAATGAGGAGGTGATCAAGGGGTGATGAGGGGAGTAGAGAGAACGTACCTGGTGTATGCTGGTGGTCGGCATTGGTGTTGACGTCACGTACATTGGTCTTCGACTTCAAAGTGATCCACTTGCAAGAACGTAGATAGGCTAGATAGGCTGAGTAGGATAGGCTGGGCGCTGGGCGCCAGACAGTAAGTGTGACATTGGATACAGTGTTGGTGTCACCAGAGAGTGACGACATTGACACCTGAGTCCATTTTGTTGCTCTTGTATCTTGGTGCATTGCACTCTCTGTTTGGTTCATGACTATCTGAGCGACTTCGTGATTTTGCAACTCGGATTTCCGTTTATCGCTCTTTCTCATATTCCTTGCACAACCGTGTTTTCCAAAAAAAAACAAAAAGAAAAAGTTGACCCACTTTTGGGTCCAACCGGAATTCCCGTTGGACCACCGGGAGTCCAACTGGCCCGGATCCCCAACCGGCCGGTTGCCTGCACAGCCCTGCTCCTGACAAATATTATACTATATTGCATAAAAGGATGGAGGGAAAAAAGCAACATACTTAACAAACTGCAATTACACAAAACACAAAGAATTGGTCGTACCACAACACAGAAGGCTCCGCCAACAAGAAAGCACTAACCACATCCACCATTGGTCTGAAAAACTTGGACAGCCTTCTGAGTTGGTCCACAACGCCACAAAATTAATTGCTCAACTACAAGAACACTGACACTGGTATTCACTTCAAACGACCCATTCACGTCACCGTCATCTCTATCACTCCATGGCTAAACAACCGCCCTTTCACTTCACTGTCTAACCCCTGGAGTGTATAGAGTGCCATAATACAAAATTCGACAAGATATGCACGCAACACCAGGAGCACTACTGCTTAAAACACCCTAGAAGCCCCCATTTCTTCCATGTGCTCCAAAAGAGCAGCCTGTGGGAATGACACCCAGAGCAAACACTCTATGAGCCTCCTTGCGAAGATACCATGGCCAAAACTCCTAACACACATTCCCACCCCAAAAACACTCGTGGTCGTCCACAGACATTCCTTTAACAAAGTGACAGCCCATGCTCCAAAGCAGGGCAAAGAATTAGGCCGTGTATAATACACAAAACAACCAACAGAACATCCAACCACAAAATAACAATAGCTCGCTAGTACGAGCCCGATCCTAACTGTTCTAAGGGCAGGACCAGCAAGATCAGAATGTGTTTCTCAAAACCAAACAAACACTCTCTTCTCATTCCATCCACAAATCATCACAAGCCATGCATCAAATGAAAAACGGTATAGATGTGTGTGTGTGTGTCTTAGATTTTCCCCACAACAGCCCCAATTCCACCCAGGTGAATAGATTCAGAATCAAAGCAGTCTTTGTCCTATTGCAAACAATGAGAGCATTTGAGATGTCCAACATATTAAAGCAATTTTATAATTAGACAGTTTTTCGGTTGTCCTTGGGTACCCCTTTCATTGTTCTTGCAGCTCCCCTTTTTTACTGTGCCTCTTACGCACAAGGCTGCCCACGTTGATTGTGGTTGAGCGGCAGCTGTGTGTGTGTGTGTGTGTGTGTGTGTGTGTGTGTGTGTATAGATATATGTATAGTATATCTATATACGTACATATGACGAGTGTAGGTGCTGTCTCTTATACACATCTAGATGTGTATAAGAGACATGTGTGTGTGTGTGTGTGTGTGTGTGTGTGTGTGTGTGTGTGTGTGAGAGAGAGAGAGAGAGAGAGAGAGAGAGAGAGAGAGAGAGAGAGAGACAAACCTGAGTTTCTCATGGAGCTACAGCGTGTCCTGGTGAATGATTTGTGCCTCTTCCGCCAACTCTTCAAGTGCCGTATTACGAAGAAGCCAAGAACCAGCAGCAAAACTCCGATAACAATCGAACCACTTATGACTATCATAACCAGATGAAATGTTTGAAGGCCGCCCTTTCTCGTGCTGGTCTTAGTATTCATGTTAAACACAGGCGAAATGCTGGGTGGAGCTGGCAACATAATTAACACACGACAGTAGCAAACATTGAGATCCTGATGCAGCTTGATCAGCATTTTTCAGTAAGAACAAAAGTTCATTATTTCTCTGCAAACTTTCAGGACCTGCAGAAAAACTTCAGAGATAAAAAGTCAAACTCAGAGGATTCCAATTGCATAAGAACTCAAGAAGACAAACCTCACAGCATGTGTTGATGGGGGGGGAGTCTTTTGGACACTAGCAACAAACAGCCCAGCCAAAACCATTCAGGAATCGGGACAAAGAAACTTCCGGAAACGCCCCTCCCCGAACCTTAAGAAGATAAACCTCACAGCATGTGTTCTGGAACGCGTTTTTTTTCCTCTTCTGTTTTTTCCTTCGTTTTTTTTCTTTTCTTTTTGGCCTTCTATTTTCGTTTTGGGTCTGCTGTTGTCTTGTGTGGTTACTCGTTTCCATTTTTGAAAGGAGTTACCACCCAGATGTGTGACGAGGCTCTACTGACCCTCTACCGGGCCTGCCAGGGTCTCCCATGAATCCAAGGAGACAAAGTTTTTTGCCTGGGTGGGGTACTGGTGGTTTAAATTGGAACGATAAAGAGAACATGAGCATGGACCGTGTGCAAGGATGGCACATATAAATCGAGAAAAATGATCCAAATTTTCTTCTTTTTCCCCCCCATAAAACAGGTCCTTATGGCCCTGGCTCCATTTCCATTCTGGGGAGCATCAGTCCGGTTCCTATTCCACCGACAAGTCAGAATAAATTATTACGTCATGAACACACATACGCTTCCTTCCATCTGGCTGAAGGAACCCTGACCAGCATTGATTACTCCAGCATCGTGGAGGATTGACTGTCAGCTTGCCCTGCTTCTTCCTTTCCTCTCAGATAAAACATAAATGGCAAGAAAGGGCCTGGAAGCTACAACAGCTGCCGATTCTGTCTAAACTCTGAACCCCGCCCATGTGCCTCGTGAGATCCATACCAGTTTTGTTACGGACTTCGCCAGGGCTCGATCCCTGGTCTATCTTTTTGCTGTTTCAGCTGCATCCCATTTTTGGCCTGGCACCCTTTTTCCAAACCCCTTCTTTGGTACCGTAGGATTTTGGACAACTGGCGCCATGCTGCAATTCGGGCGCCACTTTCAAATACTGCATTTTTCAGTTCTGCCCTCGGGGCCTTTGCA